TCACTTCCCTCGGTTTACATGACTCTGGCTCACCTGTAGAAACTCATACTTGCCTGCCCTTACTCGACGGTTGGCAAAATCTTCAACTCTATATATAAGGGTTCGATGACTTTTCCCCACGTTCTACTCGACCGCATGCTACTGTGCATTGTTGTATTCAAATACAGAGGTTACTAAACAAGATCTCCCCCATAAAAATGCGAACGATATTTTTACTAAGTGAGTGCTAGGAGTCAAATTTGTTGGTATGTGGTAATCCAACAAGAAAAAAAGGACCAAAAAACAAGAACGAAGGAAATCCAAAGAGTCGGACCACCCAAATTTAGAATTGACATTTGTGAGTTTTAAAGCCATAGTCAATTGAATGGCCAATTTCTCTAATTCAAGTGTGCTTTGAAAAGGGTTTTTTGACAAAGTCTGCAAAGGTATACTGGAAAATGGTAATGCGACTGTTGTCGATTGTTTTACTGATGATTCGGGACAAGGCATTGAGGAGCTTAGAAAAGAACCAAACTTATTCCCAACTTGTAGCATTGCTTCTCATATATGAATACTTACCTAACAAGAGTCTAGATGCCTTCCTTTTTGGTATGTTATGGTCATTTCTCACTTGAACTTCTTAGATTGGCAAATGATATTGTTTACAACTAACTCATGATTATTACCATTTGAAGATACTACAAGAAAATCATGGCTTGATTGGCTGGTTAGATTCAGTATAATGAAGGGGTCACAAAAGGATTTTCGTTTCTCCACCAAGATTCAAGTGTAAAGATAGTTTATCGAGATCTCAAAGTATGCAACATCTTGTTGGACGTAGAAATCAATCCGAAGATATCATATTTCAAGAAGGTAAGAATCTTTGCAGCAATGGTGGCTGAGCAGTTGAATATTCAGGGTGCAACTTCCTATACGGATAACCTTACTCTTGCCAAAGATGTTGCTACTAGAAGCATCACTTCTCCTGATGTTAGATGGGATATTAGGCACCATTTGGATGTCTTCTTTTGCAACACCAGCAAATTAAATTCTTTTGTTTACCATGTTAAGAGAGACCTTAATGGTGTTGCACACGATTGTGCTCATCGGGCTCTATCTTCTTCTCAGGAGCCTATCTTTGCGTGCATTAATCAGGTTCACAGGCAATCATATTGTACTTTCTTCCTTGGCTGACTCGGTTAGATTACCATGGCTATGTAGTTCATGTTGTCACTTGTACTTGAGCCTGATTTGGAATGAACTAGTTGACGCCTTGTGCGCCTTTCCCTTTACAGAAACATGAAGGTAAGAATCTTTGGTGGAAAACAGAAACAAGAGAACACAAATTGTGTTGTTGGGACATTGTAAGTAACTAGTTATGCGACCCTTACAGTATTGATTTCTGGTATGGTTTAATTCAAATCCTTGTCCTCCTATATGTTGAAATGACTGAAACTTCTACTCACAAGAGGGGGGCAATGGACCCACACCTGGATTTACATGAGTTCAACTCACATGTATGGAATCTATACTCGTCAACTCTCCTTCGCCACCGACATCATTTTTTGCGCCATATAATGGGATTTGATGGCTTCTCCACATACCACATGCTATGGGGAACACCAGCATTGATATATTCGAATATAGTGGTAACTAAACAAGATCTCTTGTTCAAAAATTTAAACATTATTTGACAAAGTCATTGTTAGGAGACAAACATGTTGATCTGTGGCAATTTCTCTGATTCATGCTTGGAAATGAGGTTTTGGTGAAGTCTACAAGGGTGTATTCCAGAATGGCGACGCAGTTACAATCAAAGGCTTGGTGGTGATTCTGGAGAAAGTATCGAGGAGCTTGGAACTAAAGTAATTTCAATTGAAAAATTGCAACATTGAAGCTACTTAGAATTCTTGGTCATTGCATTTATGAAGAGGAGAAGCTTCTCATATATGAAGACTTATCTAATAACATCCAAAGTACCTTCCTTTTTGTATGCTACGATTACTTATCAATTTTATTCTTAGATTGGCAAATGATGTTATGTATAAATAATTTATGCTTGTTGCCATTTGAAGATGCTACGACAAAACCATTACATGTTTGGCTGACTTGATTCAGTATAACTAAGTCTCACAAGAGGTGGGCTATGGTCCCCACCGTTGGATTTACATGAGTCCAAGTCACTTGTAGGGACTCTTTACTTGCCCACTCCTGCTCGTCGTCCGATAACATTTTTTTGTGCCATATATTGGGATTTGATGGCTTCTCCCCACACTAATCGACCACATGCTACGGGGAACATACACATTGATATATTCAAATATATAGGTTACTAAACAAGATCTCTTGTTTGAAAATTAAAACATTATTTGACTAAGTGAGTGTTAGGAGACAAATGCGTTGCTCCGTGGAAATTTCTCCGATTCATGCTCGAAAATGAGGTCTGGCAAAGTCTAAAAGGGTGTTCTAAAAATGGCAATGAAATTACCATCAAATGGCTCAGTGATGATTCTGGAGAAAGTATCGAGTAGCTTAGAAATAAAGCAACTTCGGTTGAAAAATTGCAGCACTAGAGTCTAGTTAGAATTCCTGGTCATTGCATTCATGAAGAGTAGGAGCTTCTCATTTACGAAGACTTATCTAAGAACAACCAAGGTGCCTTCCTTTTTGTATGCTATGACTACTTACCACTTGAATTCTTAGATTGGCAAATGGTGTTATGTATAATTAACTTATGCTTGTTGCCATTTGAAGATGCTGCGATAAAATCATTGCATGATTAGCTAACTTGATTCAATATAATTAAGTCTTATAAGAGGGGGGCATAACCCCCCACCATAGGATTTACATGAGTCCAACTCACATTCAGGGACTCTTTACTCCCCCACTCTTGATCGCCACCCAACAACATTTTTTGCACCATGTATTGAGATTTGATGGCTTCTCCCCACACTATTCGACCACATCCTACAGGGAACATCTACATTGATATATTCGACTATAGAAGTTTCTAAACAAGATCTCTTGTTTAAAACTTTAAATATTATTTGACTAAGTGTGTTTTAGGAGACAAGTGTGTTAATTTGTGGCAATTTCATCGGTTCATGCTTGGAAATGAAGTTCTAGCAAAGTCTACAAGGGTGTACTCGAAAATGACGATGTGATTTTCATCAAAAGGCCTAATGCCTTGACGAGAAGTAAATGCCGTACCTCCACGAGAAGTAAATTTGTGCTTCTCGCATAAGGAAAAGAAAAAATAAATCATTCTTTCCCTTTTTCGATAGCAACGACTGTGCCTCTCGCGGAAGCAAATCCGTGCCTCCACAAGAAGTAAATTTGTGCCTCTCACGGAAGAAGAAGAAAAAAAGAAAAAATGTGCGCCTCTCACAAAAGCAAATCCGTGCCCCATGAGAACTAAATATGTGCCTTTAATCGGAGGAAGAAAAAAAAATGCGCGCCTCTCACAAAAGCAAATCCGTGCCCCACGAGAACTAAATATGTGCCTTTAACGGAAGAAGAAAAAAAAGAAAAATCCCGCGCCTCTCACAAAAGCAAATCCGTGTCCATGAGAACTAAATACGTGCCTCTCGCGGAATAAAAAAAACACATTTTCCCCTTTCTTAGAGGCACGACTATGCGTCTCGCGGAAGCAAATCCGTGTCTCCACGAGAAGTAAATCAATGCCTCCCATGGAAAAAAAACATATTTTTTCCTTTTCCGAGAGGCGCGATTGTGCCTCTTGCGGAAGCAAATCCGCGCCTCCACGAGAAGTAAATCCGTTCCTTAAAAGATGTCCTAGATTTCCAGAAGCTGTTCAAAATTTTACAAATCTTCACACATTTTGAAAATTGTTCGCATTTTTAAAAAAATCGTTCACGTTTTCCAAAAAATATTGGCTCAATTATTCACCATTTTCAAGAAATGGTCAAAAGACTTCAAAATTCGTTTAGGTCTGCCGCTGCTGGTAGTTCTTATGGTTTTTCGCTGCCAATTAGTCACTAGCGATTATCAGCTTGGGTGGCTTGCAACTCATGTCTCTCACTTGGAGCTTGTGTGTTTTGATCACGTGCAAGTGCGCTCACCAACTTTTTTTTTTTTGAGACAAGTGCGCTCACCAACTGGATGTCGCGTGCGTGTAAATGGGCCGGCTCAGTTGGGCTCCCATTTGCTTCTTTCGCACAGCCCAAATAAAAAGCAGAGAATCAAACAGACCGAGCACCTCCAGTTGAGGGGAAAAAAATTTCCATGGCGTCCGACGACCTCTTCGAAGGCCTGCCTCCGCCTGCGGCGCCCGCCGGCGAAGACCGTGCGGGTGCGGCCTCCCCCGCGCCGCCTCCTCCTCCGCCGGCTCCGAAGGTGCCGAGGCATTCCGCGCTGAAGAGCTCCCTCAAGCGGGACAAGCCCTCCCCCTCCTCGGCCGCCACCTCCTCCTCCTCACCCGCCGCCGCCGCCGCCAGCGTCGCTCCCGCCGATGTCGCCGCCGTAGGCCGCGGTGAGCGCTCTTCTCCGCCGGCCCCTCTCCTTTACAACTAATTGCTGCTGCTTGGGAGTTGGAAGCACCGCTAGCGCGTGGTGGGATTTCAGATAGAGCTCGTGCTGATGTAGATTCTAGCGCCGATTTGCTCCTTGTGTCGTAGGGTTTCCTAGGAGTTGGATGCTATGCGCGGTCGACCGGGGCCGGGAGTGTCATGGCGTTATCAAACAGCTTCGTGTTGAGATCGAGATGTGGATTTGGTTAACGGGAGGGGATTTCCTGGTCGGGATTAGGGTTTCCTGTTTCCCTTGTCCCAGAATGCGAGGGGAAAATGCATTTGGATTCGATGGCCTCAGATTAGTGACTGCACCAACTAGAACAGCTTATACTTGAGCTAATTGCTTGGACCTGTTGCGGAAGTAGACTAGGAACAGATATAATTCTTGACCATAGGGATTGATGGCAAACTTATGTGGTTGTAGCTTGCTTTGCCAGGATAATAACCGTAGGGATTAGTGACTGCGCCAGCTAGAACCGCCTGTTCTGACAGCGGAAGCAAACGTGAAATGCACCACACGCTGACATATATAAGATGATTTATTAGGTCAGTCACAACGAAGTTATGAATCTGAACCTGGTTTGAGATGATTTATAGAGGTCCGAAACTGAATGTCTTTTAAGCTAATGCCATGTGCCAATTATGAATATTGTTCAGTGGATTTTCTGCTCATTGGTTGCTAGATGTGTCTACTATAAGTTTGTTTTAGATTTTAGCGGCGATTTGCTGGTGCATCCTGGTGTTGCTGTAGATTTTAGCGCCGATTTGTCCTTGTGTGGCAGTGTTTCCTAGGAGTTGGACGCTGTGCGCGGTCGACCGGAGCGCGGCGAGAGTGTCATGGCGTTATCAAACAACTTCGTGTTGAGATCGAGATGCAGGTTTGGTGAACATGAGGGGATTTCTAGGTCAGGATTAGCGTTTCCTGTTTCCCTTGTCCCAGAATGCGAGGAAAAAGTGCATTTGGATCAGATGGCTTCATATTAGTGACTGCACCAGCTAGAAGATCTTGCTTCAACCTGTTGTGGAACTAGACTCAGAACAGATATAACTCTTGACCATAGGGATTGATGGCAAATTGATGATTGTAGCTTGTTTGCCATGATTATAACTGTAGGGACCGGTGGCTGCACCAGCTAGAACAACCTGTTTTGATAGTAGAGGCAAACGTGAAATGCACCACACGCTGGCTGGCATATAGAAGACGCTTTATTAGTTCAGTCGCAACGAAGATAGAATCCAAACCTGGTGTTAGATGAGTTGTAGAGGTCCTAATATGATTGCCTTTTGAGCTTGATTCAGCATTTCTTTTGGCTTACCTCCAGGATTCGCCACCATCTTGAAGTAACTCAATTCGGGCTATAGTGCATCCTGGCTAAGTTAATGCCATGTGCCAAATATCAACATTGTTCACTGGATTTTTCTGCACATTGTTTGCTAGACCTACCTAGTAAAGTTCATTTTGCAGTGTGTTATTTAGTGACTACTGTATTTGTGGAGATTTCTGACCAGTGACCTTGGGTTACCATTAATTCACTCAAAAGGTGAAACCATAAGCGTCTATGCCTTGTGGTAATCTTGTCGGAGTTACGCCAGCAGCTCTAGCACTTGAATGCCTTGCTCTGTGCCTATGGCACAAATATGGGCCCTGTCTGACTACTTTTTATTATCTCCATTTGTCTTAAGGTTCTTGTACGTCCAGCTGTTCGCCTCATGTTTGTGTGATATTTACAAGTAACCTTTCTTTTACGTTATTTGTTATTTGAGCTCTTGTAGCAATAACATAGTTCTTTTTACTTGCCACACTGTCCTGTTCTAAGACCAATGTGTTGCTTGCAGTTCCTGAGAAGCGTCTTCGCTTCAGAACTACTGTTGATGCATCAGAAATGCAAATCATTGAGGCTATGCAGAAGATAACTTCACATATAGGGAATCCTTCAAAATTCAGCAAGGCATCAAAGCTTGCTCTACAGCTTATTGAGGCTGGAAGTGTCAAGCCAGAGACAATCGGTCACTTCTTTGCTGTACTAGAGGCTGCAATGTCTTCACCGGGAGCCTGCAATGAACCTTCTGTACGTGCAGATTACCAGGCACTGTTTAATGCTGCTGAGGGTGTAACAGAGGTGAAGTTTCTACTGTTGTTAGAACAAATAGCTTGCAAAATCATAGTTTTATTCCTTTTTGTGCATTATTAACCCATTGTCTCATCTACTTACAACTTTCTGGTTGATGTGCAGTGTTTCAACCAAGAGCAGAAAAATCAGTTTGATGTATGGATGCTTCACGCAGTGGTGGCTAATGATCTCTGTACTGATGACAGTTTTGTGGTAAGTGCATGGTGGTGAAATGCTTCTCGACTCAGCTGCCATGTCCCTTGAGAAATGTCATTATCAGAATGCAATGTGCAATACTGGCTTGTGTGTTCTGACTAATGTTCTTGTGTGTTTTATTCTGCAGTTTTCAAAGGCTGTAGGGAAGATTAAAGATGCCATTTCAGCCCTGCCGGTAGCGACAGTGGACGATGATAACGATGAAGCAGCAGCACTTGCAGCACTTGCTGAGATCCAATCTGGCACCACAGAGAATAAGGCAGCCGATAGCAACACACCTGCTGCAGCGTCCAACTCTGGAGAAGAATCCTCAGATCCTTTCGGTCTAGATAATCTCCTGGAGCACAAGCCAAAGAAATCCGAGAAGTCTCAGGATAAGGGGGCTGGAGCCCTGAGCAGAAAGGCAGACGAGGAGTCCAGGAGACTTTTGAGGTCACGGCGCGAAGCCCTCCTGAAATGCCTCGAGACAGCCGCTCGGCGCTACAGGATACCATGGTGAGTCCTCTGACAACTGCAAAACGTATACGCCATACCACACATCTTGCATTGCTGCTCTAAAATCTGATCCTCTGGGCTGGCTTTGTTTGTCAGGACGCAGACGAGCATCGACATCCTGGGGCGGCACGCGTACGAGAGCGTGGGGCGGTTCACGGCCCGGCAGCGGGAGGCGGTGGAGAAGCTGTGGAACTCGATCAAGGAGCAGCAGATCCGGCGCAAGCACGGCAAGTCGGCGAGCGGGAAGCTGGACGTGAACGCCTTCGAGCGGCTCCAGGAGAAGTACTCCCACGAGAAGATCAGCATCCGGCGCGCCGTCGGCGGCGCGGGCGACCGCCGCGCCACGCAGTGGCTCGGCTAAAGGCAAAGTCGGCACGCCCGGCCGCCCCCGCATGTAAAACCGGTGCGCTGTCTGATGACCGCGACGTTACACCGATCAGGATGGATGACGAAAAACGACGTTATAGTTTTCATAGTCGCATTCGTGTGTGTGTGTGTGTGCGCGCGCGCGCGCGCCCCGTTCTTGTGATCTCATCTTGGGTTGCAGCACTGTCTGTCCACAGATTTCTTGGGCGCCCGTGCGTGCGTGCGACGCTGGTGTGCGCGTGTGAATGCGGCTGGGGTTTGGGTTTTGGGTTGCTGCCGGTGTCTCGTCTCGTGTGGTGATGATGGATAAATGCTTGTTATTCTGAAATCGTCAGCGTCTTGGTCTCAGGGAAGCTGACCAGGAGGAGGAGAGGAGAGGCGACCAGATAGAGGGCGGAAAACGAGGCACGGCCGGTCGACCTGAGAATCTGAAGCCGAAGGAGATAAGCACAAGCGCTGAACGAGACCGCCGGTCGACTCCAATGCTGCTACTACTACAAATGTCATGGCCTGCATACGCGGTGCTATTTTTCACTCTCTCGCCCTCGATATTTAAAAACACTTTGGCGCAGTTAAAAAAAAAGAAGCATCTCCACCTTGGCACGGCTAGTAGAAGTTAATATTTCCCTAAAAAAGAAGAAGTTAATATCAGTCTCACTGCTTTTTCTTTCTATTATACTATACTTTTTTTTTGTTTTTGCGGGGAATCTATTATAATATACTGATTGGAAGAAAAATATGTTGTGGACAGTGGGAGGGGAGGTGCCACCATTGTAGTATCTATGCCGGCCCATTGAAAAAAAAAGAAGTTAAAAAAAGAAGTTTGCACGGCCGGATAAATCCACGGAGGCATGGATTCAGGTGGCGGTCGTCGACCGTGCAAACTAAAGCGCGGCCATTTCGGCGGGAAATGCTTTCTTTATCCATATGTCTATGCCCAGCCAGTGCACGTACGTACGTGCGCACACACTCACCTGTTTTTTTTTTCTCAATTCATTTTTCAGGTGCAGTGTTGACCAGGCCAGTGGCTGATTGATCCCTTTGTACGTACGTTTCAGCGTCTCCTGCAACGCCCTGCGACCGACCTGTACCGGAATGTGCGTGACAAACAAACAAAGATGGGATGAGAGATGAGAAGCATTCTCATTTCCCATGCACGCACGCGTTGCGTCTTTACACTCCATCGTCGACACCCACATGCCCAGCCAGTTGAGCAGCTAGCGCCATGCACATTTGCATTTTTTAAGTGGGTAATTGGGTGTAAATTAGTATAAATTAGGGTAAAAGAAGCCGGCCGGGCCCTTGTATTCAACACAGCATTTACACGTTTGCTCCCCTCAAACCGGACCAACGCTGCCCTACTTGTCTCTCCTCTCCACCACCTTCTCCTAATCTTCTTCCTCCTTCGCCACCGTCCCATCCCATCACCCACGCTCCCTATCTAGCTCCCCTCTATAAATACCCGTCCCGCCTCAACCTGCACCGGTACCGGCCGGCGAACCAAGTGGCTAGCAAGCAAGCCACGTCCTCCTCGACCAAGAAGCTCCGTCGTCGTCGCTAGGAACAATCGATGGCTGCTGCGGCTGCTGGTGGTGGTGCTGGTGGTGGTGTTGCGGGGGTGGCGGGGTCGCCGTGCGGGGCGTGCAAGTTCCTGCGGCGGCGGTGCGTGGCGGAGTGCGTCTTCGCGCCCTACTTCAGCTCCGAGCAGGGCGCGGCGCGCTTCGCGGCCATCCACAAGGTCTTCGGCGCCAGCAACGCCGCCAAGCTGCTCGCGCACCTGCCCCTCGCCGACCGCTGCGAGGCCGTCGTCACCATCACCTACGAGGCCCAGTCCCGCCTCCGCGACCCCGTCTACGGCTGCGTCGCCCAGATCTTTGCCCTCCAGCAGCAGGTCCGCCGATCTCGATATTCATTTCATTCCCTTCGCCGCCGATCACTCCCTCGTCTTCGATCGACCAATCAATCATCTGGCCGCCATGGACGCAAGCTGATGGTTTCTTGTTTGTTGCAGGTCGCGATCCTGCAGGCGCAGCTGATGCAGGCCAGGGCGCAGATCGCGTGCGGCGTCCAGAGCACCACCTCGCCGGTGAGCCACCACCAGCCACAGCCGTGGTTGCAGGACACCAGCATCGCTGCCCTGCTCCGGCAGCAGGAGAACGGTAGCAGCTTCGCCGCCGGCGGTGCGCTTCTGCCAGAGCTGATGAGCGGCGACGTGTCCATGCTGCAGCAGCATTGCGGCGGCAAGGTGGAGGGCGGCGGCGGCGGCGGCGCCGGGGACCTCCAGTACCTGGCCCAGGCCATGATGCGAAGCTCCAACTACTCCCTGTAGATTGTAGAAGAAGAACATCATGATAAAACCATGCATTTCACATGCTTCCAACAACCTCGTCGACGATCTATCAGAGTGCTGCTAGCTGATGGAATCGTGTCGGCGGCGCCAGAGATCGAGCTAGAAGAACTCAGGAGAGGGAATTGATTAACCTGTACTGAACTTTTTTTATCAGTGTTAATTCTGATCCTACAAGTTACTATTGTACTACATATTATATATCTATATATTAGAGGAGGCGCAAGCCCTGCATGAGTGGCTCAGTTGATCAATAATGATTACCGCTTCTATATAATTAAGCAGCTTATATGTTGCAAGATCACCCCTTATCGGATTTTTATTTTTTTGCAAGTCTTGATAATGACATCACTGGAAAAAAAAATATGTATGTTCAGAGTAAGCGATTAGGTTGCAGCAAGATGCACGAAACAAAGTTCATTATGAATGATATTGTAAAATGTGCAAGTCTTGCAGTTGCAGGCTCTAGTAGGATGAACCAAAACTCTACCGTCTGATGCTGCCCTTTGTATGCTTATTTGTATTGGGAATAGTTTGGAAGTTTGATAGTGCATCCCAAAAGTTCGAGGAAGAGTTTGAAAAATGAATACAAGTTACATTTCTGCACTGTTGATCTGTTGTATCTCAGCTGTCTGAAACTGTCAGTTTTACGCGAACCTCTTTTCGGCGCAAGTTTGAAAACTGTTTGGATTTGATTTGTGTTGGAAACAATTTACGCCAAAGTTTGGTACTAGTGCATACCAAAAGTCCAATGAAGAGTTACTATAGCGCACAACTTTGAGTTGCCACCAAGTTTCCCCCTCTCTAGAGACCCTAAAATCACTTGTATACATTCATAGCTAGGCTTGTATACACTACTTAGTAGTATAAACTCATAGGCTGCTGCTGATAATCCTAGTTTTTCATGCCAAGCGCAAAGACTGTCCCCCTGATCAAGGACATGTATGAACTGCCCAGCCGCTCAGCGACGTGTTTACTTTTGGTTCCATTCACCGGAGTTTGTGATGTTCTACAAAAAGTGTTGACCTTAGTCGCTCATGCACACAGACAGAGGCACGGTGAAATCACTGATCCCAATGGTTGATTAATTTCCTGGTAGAGTTGACTGCGGCAGATGATTGACCAAGTTAACCGCTAAAGTAATTAAATAACTTATTACTCCTATTAGCACCGGTACAATTTTGGTGCCACATCCCAGATAAAAATTAAGAACTCTATCACTCCAATTGAGCTATAGGATGCTAGAGAAATGTGTATAGTACTGTACAATTCAATTTGAATGGTTGGACATTCTACTGACAATAATTGAGATAGATAGACATATATGCCAAATACTACTGCTGACACAGTGGTTCTTTGGTTTAATCAGTCGGCAGATAAGAACAGTGCTACTGCTGTAGGGTTTTGGAGGACAGGCTACCATCTTGGGACTCTGCAAATTATTTCATCTACACATGTTCACTGAATCCATTACAGTAGGGCTAATTAAACTAGTACAAGTTCAGGTCAGAAGCTAAATGCTAACTAAAAGAAATGCCAACTAAAAGAGCCAAGATGTATAGCCAATGAGCAGCAGCAAACTACTGTTTCAGGTCATCAAAAGCTGCTGTACGACAATCAAGCAAGCAAGAAGCTGCGCTTGAGCTCATTTTTTACTTGATTCAGGGGCGGAGGTTGCTACAAAATCTGGAGTCTGCTAACCTGCTTGGACACCTAGAATGGAAGCAAGCTCAAGCATAGCCGATTTAAC